TTACACACTGTTTTATCTACATTATTTTCTGTCTGTGTATCGCACAGAAACCTTATGCAGGTACAGGGAAAAAAGCCATAGATGAAATTAAAAGCCCACATTCTATATATTCACTGTTTTTTAATGTAAATTCTAGAAAGTAAGCTGAGATTAAGTTTCTTAACTGGTTAAACCTAGTATAAGAAAACATTATGCTGGTGTTGGTATATGTCCCAAACCTGATTTTACTTTTCTCTCCAATAAATTTCCCAAGCATTTTGTCTTCTTTTTAATAATAAAAAATTTTAAATTGGTTGAAAATTGTAATTTGGAGATTTACTTGACACTTAAGGTGATACAGAAATAGCAACACATTAAATAAAAATAGACTAATTGTGTACTTTGTTTAGCATTTAAAGTGATTTCAGCACTGGCAAAGATTTTGAGAATCTTGAAAAAAAAAAGCCATGATATTTTTTTAAGGCTGTGAGTTTCAGTTTCAAAAGTCGTCTTTTAAAAAATCTATTTAAAATCTACTTAAGATGACACAAGTGCTCACTGCCAGTCAGGAAAATGGTTGTAAACAAATAGGTTCTTGTCATCATTTTGTTTTTCAGCAAAGCCATAGTAGTCACTTCTATGTCAGTAACTAAATGGACTCCCAAACAAAGAAGGAATTTAATGGGATTCCCAGAGCATGTCAATCCAGATTAACCCTGTGGCACCTCTTCTTTACCAAACATTTAACCTCCAGAAGAGTGAATTCCTGGTCAAGTGACTCATAAAACAAATACTATTTGTAATGCAAAACCTTTTCCCCTGGTCCATGTTTATTTATACATTAGAGATAGCATGGCATAATGGTAATGGCTTCATAGGGTAACAGAATTATGTGACATTAGGAATGTTAACCTGCCCAACAGTGCCTCAGAAGAGAATCTACAAAACAGGGGTAATGCAAGAGCTTTATAGGTTGTTATGATGTTATATGTATAAAAATCGGCACCACAGAAGATTGATCAAGAACGAGGACCCTGCAGCTATGCTAGCATCCATACAAGTCTGAACTTTGTTTATATTTCTTAGTTATACTAAAACAAATAACAAACCAAATGTCATTGAGTTGATTTGGACTCATATCAACCCAATTGGACAGAGTATAATTGCTCCATAGGGCTTTCAAGGTTATTATCTTGATGGGCACACCTGGTATGGTGCTGTAGGATCATCACTGAATTTAAGCCAAAAGGTCAGCCATTCAAACCCACCAGCTGCTCCTTGGAAACCCGAATTGACAGTCTGAATTGAGTTGGACAGAATTGACAGCACTCAACAACAACAACAACAATCTTAATGGAAACTAACTACCACACCTTTCTCACATGGAATAGCTGTTGGAGTCTAATCACAGAGCTGCTGGTTAGTAGCTGAGCACTTAACCACTGACTTTGCAGTTCAGCGCATTAACCAGCAGCGCCACATCAGCACTCTCTCTTTATATATATAGTTGGAGTCCTGGTGTGGTGCTGTGGGCTAATGCGCCAGCCTGCAAAGTCGTTTGAACTGCAAGGTCAGCGGTTCAAGCTCACCAGCCGTTCCTTGGAAACCCTACACACAGTCGCTGTGGGTCAGAATCAACTCGATGGCATCTCAAATATACATATATTTAAGGGGTCCTGATATGTGCTGTAGGATAAGCACTGAACCATTCAAACCCACCTGGGAAACCTTACACAGGGGTGTTATGAGTTGGAAGCAACTCCAAGGCACTTAACAAAGACAACAACATATATATACTTAAATCTAACATTTAAGCATAGGTTCAGTTTCTTCTTTTATTTAGGAATTTATGCTTTAATTTTATAGAGAGAGCTAACTTCTGCTTTATCTCATTCTTGATTTCATAGGAGAAGGCATTTGGGGAAGTATGATGAGGATTTCTATTATGTTCAGTGACTCTCACGGTATCTGCATCAGAGGAATGTTTATTCTGCTTTCCTGACCTCACAAATCTCTCCTCCCTATTTTTCCTTCTTTGCACCTTCCCTCTGTTTTATCCTTCTCTTGCTCTATCCTTTCTTTGTTTCGTTTATCTTGCTCTCTTTTAGTATGATTTGGCTTGGTCCTTATAAGACAACCATCCTCCCTTCCACATGTTACCATATCTGTTTTCAAGGTGCCAAGGGGTTTAGAGTATATTCACATAAGAATTAATGGTGATATCAATAGCAAATGCACTCACAGATCAGTACCAGTTGGTTGAAATCTTGATTTTGTCAAATGAAGTTAGGAAAAGAATAGGCATTATGGAGCAAAGAGTGAAAACAGGAGAAAACCAAAGGGGAACGTGAGCAGAGTGACATGTAGGTAAAGAGACAGGAAACTGAAGAACTGTGGCGATGGACAGGTACGGTTCTGCTCCCTGCTTTGTGGAATCTGAACCCCTCACACTGAGTCTTTAGATTCTTTTTAGAGTAAAGAAATATGAAACACAAGTTGGTCCAAGCGAAAGTGTAGAGTAGAGGGATGCGTCCATTCTGTGGAGTAACGTCCTGAACTGGCCAGTCTCTTACTGAATTTGCTTTAGCCTCAGACATTGTTTTCCTGTCATCTCACTTGAGCCATTACTCCAGGCTTCTTCATTCCTTTTAGCCTCTGAATAAATCTCCCTCAGCATCAGCTCACCACAAATGAAATTGTTTCCTACTTCATGTCCGTGGGTTTTCACCTCAAATATGTCTGCTCCTAAAACTATCCATTCATCCTTACAGGATTAAGAAGATTACAAAAGCAAGCAAACAAAACCCTTTGCTTGCCTTTCAGAGGTACTAGTGATCTAGCAATAGCTGCAACAAATAGATTCAAACATACCATTGATTACGAAGGTGGTACCAGATCAGGCAGCATATTGTTCTGTCATATACAAATAAGATTTCCATGAGTTAGAGCTGACCCAATGTCCACTAACAACAAAAATAATGATCCAGCAAATATAAAACTAAGCAGTCATTTTCCAAAAGTCACCAATAATATATGCTTCTTTAGTATGGACAGAGGGTCTCCTCTCTGTCCTTGACACACCTAGGGAAAGTCATTGCAATGACAATTCCTACACCTCTCCATATTACCAACTTTTCTCACCTTCCCCATCATTCTCCTGTTACTAGTTACCTCTATGGTAAGCTTATCCTTCTCTGAACAGTTTCACAAAATTCCAAAATTAGGTGTTTCTCTATTTGTTTATAACTATTAATCTTTCTTTCCCAATGTGATAATTCATTGGAGAACAGGGAGGGCACCTTATGAATCTTTGGATGCTGACACCGGATGACTGACAAGAGTCTTAATGGAATAATTTTTGTAAGATTCACTCTAGCCTGGAAAGAGCTCACCGGGTCTTATCTGTCAAATTGTCTACTCTACATGTTCCTTTATTACACAATTAAAATATTTATAACACCAATCTCCTTATTCTGAACCTCAATAATTTATTAATTACTGGTCCTGGTATGGAGCTGTAGGATAAGCACTGGACTGCTAAGCACAAGTTCTGTGGTGCCACCAGCCACTCCTCGGAAACCCAACACAAGGTTGCAATGAGTTGGAACTGACTAGATATCAGCTAACAACAACAACAGCAATATACCCTGATAATTGGGGAATTCTATTTTGACTTCTGATCTGCAATGATACCATCCTGTACTTTTTAATACCCAAATTGTGTATCTAGATATTAATACTTGGAGAGCATCAGTTCTATCTGACTTTTTATTTCCCATTTAATGGATATATCTCTGGAACACTGATTACAGCTATAAGGAATAATGCAAGATATATTTTTTCAAATTTAGAAGACTTGCCAAAAGTTGGATGCTAGTGATTCATTTTCTGCAAAACACTATTTCTCATCCATGTTGGAGTCAAGCAGAGCACCGAGTAATTACCTGATTATGTATTCCCTGGGCCATAAGTATCAAAGTTTCCAACTTCACGTGAGAATTAAATATTGGTATGTGGTAACATTTCAATTTCACAACTGAGTTCTGCCTATGGAGATCTAAGTCATGAATCACTCTACATTGGCAAAGGGTATCCAGTTTTAATATTTTCCTGAATAATCAGAGTGTACATATTTTTTTATCCAGTGTCAGCACTGAAACTTTAGTTTTTATCAATTTATCTCTTTGAGACTTGCACAACTTTAAGACATTAAGCATTGGTGATCATATACAATATACTCAAGTTTTTATCCTAATGAACATTTTAATTGACTTATGCACATCAACAATTTAATTTTCTGTCGAAATCTTCAATTTAGCAATTTGTTTTTTAAAAAGTTACTCTAGTCCTAGAAAAATAAAGAAAAGGAAAGCTGGAAATTATTGTCATTAAAATATATGAAAATTCAGAGTTTGAAGGAAAAAAAAAGACCTAAAAGAAAGTCAAGATTAGTAAATAACCAACAACAAATAAAATGGAATCTAGTAAAAATAAGTACAATGAATTATACAAAACAAATTATTTTATTGATACCCAACCTCAGGGTCAAATGCTTAAATCTTTTTTCTTCCTTGAACAGCAACTATTTTGCTCTAAATGATTATATCCGAATAAACTCCTGAACATGATGTTTGACACTTCCGGCAATATGCCTTAATTCAGACTTCAAATCTCATCTAGATTACTTGGGTACCTTGGCACAGCAGAGTAAGAATTTACCCCATAGTATCTAGACTATTTCTAATTTAATAATATCATTATGTGAATTGCCTGTTAAGTCTTGATTGTACATTATGTCTTTTTAAGTGCTAAATTTATTCTTTGACTTGCAGTTATATTATAGAATCCTGAACTATGGTTAGGGTATCATCCCATCATTCTCTCACAAAGAAAAGGGCCAGGGCCAGAAATAATACAATTCAATGTTTGCTTTTCAAAGTAAACACATCATCTCTGTTTGTTGTTTGAATTTATACATTGCTCTATTTCTTTAATACCAATGTTAAGAGTATGAAACTCACTCAATGAAGTAGACTTCACCCTTTTCTGTATAGGCCATTTCCCAGTTGTCAGGCAAGGGGTCAGATTCATCATTGTCTTCAGGTTTAGTTGGCTTTGCATCATCCATCTGCTCCTTTAGCTCCTCGGGCTGACTGTACACTGGTGCAGGATAAGGCTGGGAGGGAGTCTCCCCTGAGGCACCTGCACTCTTGTCTTCATTTTCACTGGATTCTGAAAGAGAAATAGAGCATATGGTTAGTGAGCTCAGACAAAGTAACTCCTGGATGAGTGTAGAGTGTGCTGAACTTGGGAATATACTCTATGACCTATGACTGCTAATAAGAAATACTTTTCAAAAAGCATAATTGCAGACACCCCTGGAAATGATGACTAGGCCTATTAAAGTCTTCCTTTCACTCAGCCTTCTTGTCTATCTTTACACTAACTATTGCTTATTACCAGACCTGAGGTTTGGCAGATGAAATGAAAGGACTATGTCACAACACAGTTGCAGTTGGCAGAACTATCCCTAAGGATGCTCATGTTCTAATACCTGGAACATATAGATATTACTTGACATGGCAAGAGGAATTTTCCAGATGTGATGAAAGACTTTGAGATTGGGAGATTATCCTGGAGATTATTGGGAGATTATCAGGTAGCCTCACTGTTATCACAAGTATCCTTAATAGTGAAAGAGGAAGGAAGAAGACAAGGTTGGGAGGAGATACTACAAAAGAATGGTCAAAGTGATGTAAGGTTCCTGGTTTTCAAGACAGAGGAAGGGACCTCAAGACAAGGAATGAGGAAGGTGCTAAAAGCTGGAAAAGATAAAGAAATAAATTCTCCAGAAAGCAACATAGCCCTTTCAATACCATGATTTTATGCCAGTGGGACCCACGTCAGAATTCTAATATATAGAACTTTAAGATAATAAATTTGTACTGTTTTAAGATTCTAAATTTGTAGTAATTTGTTACAGAAGCAATAGAAACTAATATGTAGAGCAAAATTAAAACACATGAATTTTAAGAGAAAATATGACAGGCTTGGAAGTAGGAGTCTCCTTCTCACCCCATGTAAGTAGTATAAGGTCTGGAATGAAAAAAAAAAAAAAAAGTAAAATACATGGAGATAAGATGAATAGACATATAAAATAATAGAAAAAAGTTACTTAAAATGAAGAAACAGTTGAGTCTGCACACTAAAATTGTTCACTGAATCTGAGGCCAGATTAATGAAAGATACTGACCTCTAGATTCATCTAGTTGAAAATCTGAAACTCTAAGGCTGTAAAGTAATCTTGCCAGATTCTATACGAAAATACATAACTCCTCACAAAGAAAGAAAGACAGAAAAGCTTCAAACCTTTCAACTGTAATACTTGAGGCTCAAAAACAGAAGAGTAGTGTCTGTAGCAATTTGGTAAAAAAAGTACTTGCAACCCAAGAACCAACCTCTGCCAAGACACCATTTATCGATTTGAGCAAAAGAAAGTTACTTTACCTATTAATTGATTTTTACCTTTCATTAGAAGGTCCTGGATAAAGAGGGGAAAATACAGAATACAATTCAAAATCATAAAAGACCAGGCTAACTGGCACTTAGTCACCCTTCCGGTCTAGAACTGAACTCACCTCTGCACCTCAATTTTCAGACAAACAATAGACAGGTATATAAGGGGAACAACAACACTACTGAGGTATGTACACCTTAGAATAATAAACCATTTGAGATATTAAAGAGCACCACTTACTCAAGCACAAAGTTCAGAAGGGTTAGGAAAGAAGGAAGAATGGAAACAGGAAGAGCCAGCAGAAAAGGAGACAAGTGATAAGCGGGTTGAAGGGATTATAATCAATGCAATGAAACAAAATGTGTATGACATGTTGAATGTAAACCGAATGATCACTCTGTAAACCTTCATCCAATTCACAATAAAAGGCTTTAAAAATAAAAAAAGAACAGGCAATACACAAATAAAATAATTTTATTTCCTTCCATTTAGTGTTTTTTGCCATTAAGGACATGCTATGAGTCCTATTTCTTCAGTGAGGAGTACAGCAGGTAATATCTAGTCAAAGAAACATTTTTAGAATAAATAGGAAGAAAGATATAATGTAGAGGAAGCTCATGCCAGGGAAGATGGTAGTTGGGAGAGTCATTCAGAAATTACAAGACTGTTGTTGTTGTCAGGTGCCATCGAGTCGGAACCGACTCATAGTGACCCCATGCACAGCAGAACAAAACAATGTCCGATCCTGAGCCAACCTCACTACCGTTGCCACACTTGACACCATCAATGATGCCACCTGGCTGATCCATCTCGTTGGGGGTCTTCCTCTTTTTCTCTGACCCTCCATCTTAGCCAGCATAACATCTTTCTCCAGCGACTGTTCCCTCCTGACAATACGTCCAAAGTATGAGAGACGAAGCTTAGCCATCCTGGCCTCCAAGGAGCACTCTGGCTGCACTTCTTCCAAAACAGATCTATTGGTTCTTTTGGCAGTCCATGGCACTTTTAGTATTATAAGACTAGACTTAAGAAATTGCCTGTTTCTTCCAGGAGCCCAACACTGCTACTTTTAGGTCTTTGCCTGAGATATGATGTGATGATGCTAAGAAGGAAGAAACTCTAGAAAAGGTCAAATGGAACCAAAACCAATGACCTGGATACGTCTTTTAGTCTTGAATTTAGGAGAAACATTTCCTCCTGGGCAGCCTCACATATTCACTGGGTGGTCACAGTGGGGAAACGAAGAAGTGAAAATATTTAGCAAATAGTCCTGCCAAGACTGCCCTGTGGCATGGAGGTCATCCAGAAATCAAAGCATGCTCTAGTGGGAGACTTGGAAGATAGCCAACAGCTGAAAACCAAGAGGCCTGCAGTGAGGGTCACCATGGTGAGGAGCAATGCTTCCTTAAAACAGAAGTATTTATCCAGCCACTGGGAGGGGAGCACAGCTGAGGGCCTGAATGTGAGAGAGGTGGAGGAAAGGCAGCTATCTTGAAAATATGAAATGAAGCAATATTTAGGACATAATCTATCGATAGCTATTAAAATGCACATATAATTGGCCCCAGTAATTCCACTTTGAGAATGTATCCTCTTGAAATAAATGTATTGATGCATAAAGATCCTTATATAAAAGTGTTTATTGCAGCATTTTTGTGGTAACAAAATCCTAGAAATGATCTAACCACCCACAAATAAGAGAACAGTTAAATATTGTAGACAATTTTCTATTCTAAAAACAATGGATTCAATGTCTATTTATTGACCCAGAAATGTTTTTGTAATTATGGCTTAAAAGGAAATCTAAGTTGAAAAATAATATATATTATTTAACCTATTTTTGTAATAACCAATACCTAAGGAGTCCTGGTGTGGCGCTGTGGATTAATGCGCTAGACTGCAAAGCCGTTTGAACTGCAAGGTCGGTGGTTCAAGCTCACCAGCTGCTCCTCAGAAACCCTGTACAGGGTCGCCTATGGGTTGGAACTGACTCTACGGCACTTAACAACAACAACAAGACCTCTTGTATATGAGGAAGCTTCAAAAAGTTCACGGAAACATGGAATGAAAAGATAATGGAACTTTTCCATGAACTTTTTGAAGCTCTTTCCCCTCACTTACATATTTTTCCTATGTCCATATAAATATGAAGGCGCCCTGGTGGTGCAATGTGTAAGTGCTGAACTGCAGTGATAGTATTTAGAACCTGCTAACCACCCAATGGAGGAAAGACCCAGTGATCTGCTCTCATGAAGACTGGTGGTGGTTATGTGCCGTGGAGTCGGTTCCAACTCGTACATAGCGACCCTACATGGGGTTTCTGAGGCTGTAAATCTTTAAGGGAGCAGAAAGCCTCATCATTCTCCCACGGAACAGCTGGTAGTTTCGAACTCATGAAGATTAAAGGCTAGGAAACTGATGGGACAGCTGTAGTCTGTCCTATAAGGTCACAATGAGTTGGAATTTGCATAACAGCAATTAACAATAAAAGTAAGAGGAATATAAAAAAATAGTCTTGAAGATTGTTCAAAAGTTCATCATCTTTGATAACATCAGGACAGTAATGTGGATAGAAGTTGGAAAAGAAAATTAAGTTTATTTACATTAATCTATTTCATTTATTACTTTAAAATTAATAAAGATAATTCTAAATTAGCAAATTAAAGTAGAATGTTATAATCTAGTTAATTGGCCTAATAACATGTTATGTGCTTCTCTTCTATCTCCTAGTTACTTGTGCAATGCCTGGGGTCTTAGGAGCTTGCAAGTGGCATTTCAAGGTACAATAATTGGACTCATTTTGCCTGCAGCAAAGAGTAATAAAAAGAGTCATTCAGATGAAATATAATATGTGACTAATTGTCTCCATGAAAATTGCCTCCTTTGCCACAAGGTCAGAAGGACTGGATGGTGCCAGGTTACCATTACTGAATATTTTGATCAAAGATTACATAGAAAAATGCTGATCAAAAGTGGGGAAATGCTGAACAGATTTCCAAATTCTCATGGAATTCAAACTTTCTGGAGCCCTGCATTCTGAATGAACCTCTGAAACTATCGCCTTGAAATAATCTTTAAATCTTAAACTAAAAACAATCTTGGAAATTTCTTAAAACCAAACAATAGTTTAGTTTTTATTTATATGTGATTCAGCTAACAAGAGCAACACAAAGGATCAGACAGGCGTTTAAGGGCCAGTGAGTTTCTTCTGTTAATGAGGAAGGAATGCCACAAAAAAGGTAGGTAAGAAGAGTCACACAACTTGAGAACGTAACTAATGTCAATGAATTGCACATGTAGAAATTGTTGACTTGGTGTATGTTCTACTGTGTGTATTCTTAACAATAAAAAAAAAAAATTATAAAAATTTAGAATGTCACTTTAAGTATCAGTTGCTTGTGTAGTTATTCCCATTTATACATAAATTTAGAATCCTGACAGGAGAGTGACTATCAGTAATTGGAAGCAAAGGTGGTGGTGTAGGATGATCACTGACTGATAACCACAGTGACTTGGCCTTGACTCAATGGTACTTGACGGCAACACTGTGAAAGGTACGGTACCTGGGTGATGCAAACAGTTAATACACTGGGCTGCTAATTTAAAAGTCAGATGCTTGAGTTCACCCAGAGGCACCTCAAAAGAAATACTGGTGATCTACTTCCAAAACATCAGCCACTGAAAATCTTATCTTAGTCTAACACACAAGGGTTGC